AGCCATATGCAGAATATTTGAGTGAAGAAAACAATAGGTATGATTTGATGTGTATGTTTGAAAGCAAAATAATATATATATATATATATATATATATATATATATATATATATATATATATATATATATATATATATATATATATATATATATATAATTGATGTTATCTTTGACCTAAGTTAGAAAAAAACTGGAGCAAGAGAATTTTCAAAAGTAAAGGAGGTAGTGAAAAAAAAAGAAGCTTCTACAAAACAAAGGTCACCTGTTTATTTTGATGTTATTTATGAGGTATAAAAATGAAAGAATAACCTGGAGCAAAAGAACACAAGAACTCTGATTACAATAAACTTAATGGATTTGTCAAAATATTATACTTTTTTTATGTATGCTACTGAAGAACCAAAACAGATTTGCTTCTTCAAGCACAAATTAATGACCAACATTGAAAATGGTAAACACTTTTATTTATTACACAGACTTCTTTGTTAGTAAAATATTTATTATTGAATCTTCTTTTTAGAGATCATTCAGGTACTATTCTTTTATGTGTGATATTTTGAAGTCTACCGACACTAACACTAAATATTTGAACCAGTCAAAAAACAGTTCAGTAGCTCAGATGTATTGCTTCAGTTTGTATTTGAAGATAGAGCTTTTAATGCTGTCTTAGATCGATGATTTTTTTTACCAGTGTATTCCATAAAATTTTATATGGAGATCATCAAAATACTCTTTATATTTTTTGTATATTTTACAACCTACAAACAACTCTATCTGCAAGTCTTAAGTAATGGTTGAAGTAGTAAACAGATTTTGTTGTATATTGCTTTTATAGAATTATTTGTTAGGAAAATATCCACTATTTATTAGAAATTTTTTAAAAATATACTTCGTCCAAATAATGTTATTTTTAATGTAATATTTTGGATCCTAAATCAGAGGAGATTAGATGCTACACTGAACCTGTAAGATGAAGTCTTGTTTACCAGTTAAACTTTTGAGTAATTTTTCATGACTAAAAATAGAATTATGCTTGTTCTGTTTCAAAATATCAGTTAGTAAAGAAAACAGAAAATCTAAAAAATATCATCTGACTTATATTTTATTAGTAACACAGATTTCTTTTGTACTATAGTGCTTGTTGCTAGAAAGAGCTTTTGATATAAAAGTAGAATTTTCATGATTGTACTAGATTGGCGACAAGGTCTATCACTTTACAGTTGAATTAGCTAAATGTAAGCATAAGTGGGACACTTTTCTGTCTTTTTGTTTCCCAGTCAAATTTGATCTTCAAAAATTTAAATGTAATGTCAATCATAATCTTCTGTTTTTTTAATACTTGCTTTTTATTGTTCTCTCACCTTAATAGTATTTTGTTCCTCATAGTCTCTTAAATGCAGTAAGTCCTTGAGTTTGGCTAGATGTAATTGTAAATTCTATGGTAGCATTTTCTTTTCTCGCACTTCTCACTTGTAGAACTCCCTTCCATCTTCATATTTTCCAGCCAACTTTAATCTGCAAAAATTTAAATGCAATGTCAATCGTTACCTACTGTCCTCCTGATTACTCTCTTCTCTTTCCACTCATTATTAATGTTTCTATTCCTAGTTCTTTAGCACCCAGTAACTCCTTGTGTCCTAGTGGATTTACCGCCTTGCATGAGGAGATACTGAATAAAAAATAATGCTGATAAATCATTAAAGAAGCCTTTCAAAAAAAAAAAAATTGATATTTCATTTCATCATTTTTACAATTGAAATGGCTGGATATAACCATAAGTTTTATGCTAACATTTTTTTTGCATTTGTTGCTTGTGGAACTCTCTTCTGGCTTCTTGCTTTCCAGTCAAGTTTGATCTTCAAAAATTTAAATGCAATATCAATCATTATCTTCTGTCTCCTTAATTCCTATTCTTATATTGTCCTCTCTCCTTAATAAAGTTTCTTTTTTCTCATATTCTTACACACTCAGTAACCCCTTACTTTAGTGGCTTTATTGCCTTGGTTGTGGTGAAATAATTTTTAAAAAAATCTAATTAATCTACAGGATGTTTATTCTTTGCATATCTCAAACACCTATGCAGTATGACAAGAAGCTTCATCAGTGATATCTTTAATAGTGTTATTAGGGGTTTTAGGCTTCTAAAAACATCAGAATCAATTTCCTAGGTAATTCAACCAGGAGTGATCACCTCCTGGTCAGCTTCCTGGCCACTCTCAGTTGAATCTGTTAAATTTGATTCATGCTTATATTGGTTTGAGTATTTTTGAATTCAGCTAATGAAAATTGGTTTTACATTTAATGCAGTCTCCATTTGCCTATTTAATATTGTTGAATTTTCCATGCTTATCACTTGTTTTTTGTTGTTTTCCTTGCCAGTTAGCTTATTTTGAAAAAATAAGCAAAGTAGCATTGCACTCTTATTGCTTATTATTGATAAACATGATACTTGATATTCTTCCTGTTTTGTCACAGAAAGAAAAATTTGAAGAAATAACTTTGAATTCCTCAATTCACTCCATGGAATTTCAAAACCTCACTTTAACTCTGATTTGAGCTATAAGATCATTTCTGGCCAAAAGACTGATTTGGGCCAAAATTCCAATTCAGACAGAAAATTGAGTTCTTCAAATCACAATCTCTGTGGAACTTCAAAACCTCAAATCATGAAACCTCTTGCTTTAATTCTGATTCCTTGGCATTTTGAAGAAATAAAATTTGATTTCCTCAATTCACAAAGTTTTGGAGATATTTTAAACTCAATTTAAAAGAAAATTTTTTAAATTCACAAAGTTTTTTTGCTACTCAATATAAATTGAAAACTTTTAAAATCACTAATTTTTTTCAGTAATTTTAAAATTTGAATTTTTAACTGTTCCTTCCTCATCCTGACATAAATCCAAATGCTGAATGTTCAAGCACCAGATGAAGGGCAGATTTTTAGTCCTGACTCCCAACAGATATAATACGTCTATGTAGAGCAAATGTGACCCAAGTTATAGGGGTTTCAGGCATATGGACAGACAGAATTTGCCATTTATTTATTTTGATTGAAGTACAACAGAGTACAAATTAAGCAAGAAAATACATTTTTATATCAATAAATATAGAATAGAATCACTCTACATTCTAATTTATTTATCTTGTATGTTATCTTGGATTATTTTTAATGGAATATGGGAAACTTTATTCTTCCTCTTTTAAGTCAATCCCTCTATAGATTACTAGCAGTAGAGCCCGGCGTTGCCCGGGGATGTAACAGTAAGAGATATAAACCAACCATCATAAAGACTGAAAAATAAAATTGACCAAGATTATTGTTTAAGGTTGACGAACACGCATGTCTTAATTAGTTTGTTTTTTTGTTTTGTTTTTTTACAAATTGGTCAAACCCAAACTCAGACAAAAACATTGTTTTCAATCGTTATGAGTCAACCGATTGAATAGAATTTTATTATAAACAATTGTCTTGTAAATGGAATTTTTAAAGCATTCTGAATGTAAAAATAAAGAAAAAAGTGTCCAAGTTTTGTTGAAATCGATTGAAAAATGTAGGAAATCCGATCCCATATATAAACGAACACACACACACACACACACACACACAAACAACCAGGGTTTTATAATAAGTATAACTCGATATGAGTTGTCCCCTTTCATTCTGGCGACAGAATCATGATTTTATCGTGTTTTCAAATTGATTTCATGCAAAAACAATTGTGTTTTTTCCAATTTTGGCACTGTCAAAACCACCATTAAAGATGATTTTATGCAGTCCTGTGAAGTTTTGTTGAAATAGGTTGAAAAATGTAGGAAATCCGATCCAATATATAAACATACACACACACACACACACACACAATCTGCGTTTTATAATAAGTAAGATGATCTATAATAGTTTTTGAATAAGCAAAATATATAACTCTTTGTTGAGAAGTATGATAACATTTTTTTAAGGAAAATACTTTCAAAATTTATTAAGAAAATTATATTATAAACTTAAAAGTTTGGATAGTCATCCAAGATAGAAATAATTTTGTTTAAAAAAATCTACTGAGATGCCACAAAATATGGTGAATACCTTTGTATATATTTTATACTTATTGTCTTGTATTTAGAATCAGGTAAAAATCTGAATTGATGTATTTATAAAGTGATATGGAAACAGTAAATATGGTGAATACCTTTGTATATATTTCATACTTATTATCGTGTATTTAGAATCAGGGAAAAATCTGAATTGATATATTTATAAAGTGATATGTAAACAGTAAATAAACCAAAAGTTTGTGTAATTTGATAACCATTATAGCTTAGCATTAGATTGAAGAAGTAGTAGATGAAGAATAATCTTTGGTGACAGTCTGATGAATTCACAGAGAAATATATCATTTATTTTAACTTTCAGTCTTCATTTCCTCCTCCAGGCATTCATAAAATATGGTTTTCCAATGTATCAGTGGGACTGTCATCAGTGATGTTTTATAACTCGAGGGTGGGGTGCTGGTCTTTCTATGTCAGACCCTTTTTCTTAATTTTTCCACCTCCCCACAACTGGTTACCACTCCATATACTTACTATTTTCATTATACTTATATTATTTAAAACTATTGTTCTCATTGATGCTGAATCAGTCCATCACTACCTGATACAGGGATTGAACATACAACCACTAGATAGCCACCATTCTGAAGGAAGTGGTGTATTTTTTTGGAGCTTTTTATATTCAATGTCAAACAGTTTTTAACACTTGGCGATGATGGCAGGTTCATATTGCATTTCATATTTTAGCATTTCATTTCAGAGATGAGTAATTGTCAATAAATTTTTATAATTTCAAAATATTATTCCTCGTGTTTATAATAATATCTATCAACCAAGTTCAATAACAATAGTTGAAAATAATACAACTATATTGACAACTACTTATCTCTGAAATGAAATGCTTCTACATTTTTCAATTTAGTAGTTGGATTGGTGGTTTCAAAATTTCAAAGGCT